GGGGGCCATTGCGGCTCGCGCCAGCACCCGGCCTTGGGTCGCACAGGGATGCTGAGAGGGCGAAGCGGGGTGGGTGTGGTAACACACACGTATGGGTGCTCGCTTTGTTCTAGGCATTCCAGTGGGGCAAAAGCCTTCAGCAACTGCAGCGTCAGGGACTTCGAAGCCTTCCTGAAGCACGATGGAGGCGCGTGCCTTTTCAGTAGACCCCGCTTGACCGGGCTGCCCTCCCGGAGAGCGGCTGTCTGCGGCAACGGCGTCGTGGAGCCCGGCGAGCAGTGCGACTGCGGGGCGGCGGAGGTGGGTGCCGCGGGAATTATGGTGAAATGTGTACATTTGTGCTGTTTGTGTTTGGAATAACGATCCCCGGAGACTGAGGGCACAGCTGAAGCAGAAGCCGGCCCAAGAAGGATTATGTCTGGTTTTAGATCGTTTCTATGGTGGCTTCAGTCTGACAGCAGCTTTGCCCGCTTTCTTCTGCTAGATAGTGCCCAAGCGTAGCTTCTGGGGGAGACAAGGAAGAGGAGAACCTCGGACAGTAGGAACCACTGGGGGAACAAAAAAGCAGAATAACGTGTTTTGCAATGTGTCCCCAGGCGTGCTCGAAGAATCAGTGCTGTACTAGAACCTGTCGCTTCAAGCCAGGCGTGAAATGTGCCTCTGGACTGTGCTGTACTGGCTGTCAGGTAAGGCACGTTGTTATAATCAGCACCAGATCATGACTTAGTTGGGGAGGAAGAGTATGTTCCCACGCTGAAGGATGGAGACAAACTTCCTGCTGTGCAATCGGAGGTCCCTGGGGTAGGGCTCAGCTCCCTGACCCCCCGGGAGGAATATCGCCGGGGAGGGGCGTCTCGGGCAGCGTAACAGGCGTGTGGTGCACCGAGTGCCTCCGAGGCGGTCCCGAGGGAGCGGGGACAGGTCTCAGGACAGCGTCGGGAGGGTCTGCGCGGGGCCTGAGAGGGGACCGCGCTGGTGGGTGGGGAAGGACGGGGAGAAGAGTCCTTTCTGCCTCCCCTGCCAGTTCAAGCAGAAAAACGCGCAGTGCTGCCCAAAGGGCCGCTGCCGCTCCCCGGACCTGCAGTGCCGGCGGCTCTACGGGAGGGGTAAGAGGCTGCTCTGGGTGCACTGGTACCACTGGTGCTGCCGGGGTGCAGGAGGCGGCTGCACCAGTAATGATGCTCGGTTTGTATCTTTGCTCTCTAAGGCACCAACCTCAGGCTGGTCTCACTGTGCCTTTTGAGCCTGGTTTTGGTGGAAATGAGGGTTTGTGGCTGGCTGGTAGCTCATTCCTGATACTTCCCCTCAGAGCCTGACCCCAAACTCAAGCATCTGTTGAAGCAGGAGGGTTTTAGGGACTGCGCTCGCACGTATCTGACGTGGGCGATGAGGCCCGGCGGCCCGGCGCCTCGTGGCCTTGTGCGCGCGTCAGGGGGCAGGAGGGGCGCAGAGGCGGCGCTGCCCGGGAAGGGTGGGTGCGGGCCCCGGGAGGAGGGCACGGGGGGGAGTGGGGCACCCGCAGAGAGAAGGATGCGGTTTTAGGAAGTGTTTTAAGCTCAGTTTTGAATCCAGTTAACGTGCCCTTGTGTGGCACAGAGTTCTCCCAGTCATTCAGTGATAACAATGGAAACAGCAACAGAAAAAGCAAATTATTACCTGTGAGTGAACGCCAGCCTAGTGCTTGCTTGTCCCGTGTTCCTGCAGTCCAGGGCTGCTGAGGGTTTGGCAGTTCAGGGCCAGGTGTTGAATGTTCTCTGATGAATGAACAGCATCTCTGTTGTGCTGTGAACAGGATGAAGAATTAAGAAGTTATTAGGTACCATAGTGTGTTCCTTTAAACGATAACCAATATTGCTGCTAAATTCCTAGGTTCAAAGAATGCTCCTGTGGCTTGTTACGAGGAACTCAACAGTCAGCAGGACAGATTTGGCCACTGCGGGTTCCAGCCCAGACAGGGCTATAAGTCCTGTGCTTGGAGGTAGGCTCTAGGGAAGGGCGCCTGCGCCGCCGAAATGCAGATTTAATGGGCCCTCGCAGGCACGGGGAGTACCGAGGCTCCAGAGGACAGCAGATGGGTGACACGGTGAATGGTGGGGGGTGCGCTCCTCGTTGGTAACGCGGCATCTCCCCTCCTCTTTCAGATCCTCCCCTGGCCTCCCCAGTCCTGCTTCTCTTTGTCCTTGTCGAGCAGCGCTCCGGATCCGCGTTGCGCTCTTTAACGTCTGTAGTGTTTCACCAGGCAGCCTGTGCGAGCGGGGGGGATTCGCATCCTGTGCAAATCCATTTCGTAGGAATCTCAGATGCGGGAAGTTAATCTGCACGTACCCGTACAGCACGCCCTTTGCATCAGCCGCCGCCGCCGTTGTCTACGTCCAAGTGCGCGAGCATTTGTGTGTATCTTTGGATTATTTGGATGCACCAGCAAGGCTGGATCCTCTTCTGGTTCCCCCAGGTACAAAGTGTGGCTCTGGAAAGGTAAGAAAACTTTTTGTATTCATCTAAAATATCAGCTATAAATTGTACCTGATTAAAAAGGGTTTAGAAATATTTCCTGCCTTGCAGGGTAAGAGCACTTGCTCTTTACAAGCGCTGTAAAAACACACGAGCATTGCGTTAAACGTTTGGCACGGGGCAGGCATTAGACAGAGCCCGTCCCTAGGCAGGGAGTGAAGCTTTGTAAAGCACAGCCGTTTTTCAGAAGTATCTTCACTCCCTCCTGGGCCGTAAGACTGATGGGCTGGGTGCCGCGATGGTAAAGCAGCGCTGAGCTGGAGCTGTTTGGTTTTTGCTAGGTGTGTATAAACAACACTTGTCACCCGCATTCGGTCCTGGGGTACGACTGCGACAGCAAGGTGAAGTGCCACGGCCACGGCGTAAGTCGCTGCGCGCAGCGCACGTGGTGCTGTGGAGGGAGCTGGCTGGGGCCCCTTCGGGGCTGATGCTCCACAAAACCGTGCCCCTGCCCGCTGTACCTGCAGTAAAGCCATGAAACTACCGGTCCTAACACTGGTATCAAAACAGCGGCGGTTTTTATTCACTGAAGTGGAGAATTTGATGGTTGGTTTGGTTTGGGGGGTGGGGGGAAAGAAAGCAAAATTGAAGGGACGTAGAATTGAGGGCAACGGAGCTCACGTCGATAAAAACTGTCGTGTGGCTGTAGGGAGCAGGGCGGTGCGTGGGGGGCTGCCGGGCTCTCCGGGCCCCCGCCTGGCCCTGCGGTGCCGATAGCCGGGGCAAGCCGCTCCTGCTGTCTGCTGATGAGGCAGAAATGCCCCTGGGCTTTGCGGGAGGGGGATGTTTGGTGCTTGCTCAATGTCTCAAGGCTGTCAGAGCCTGCACGTTCGGTGCCTTCCCTGTCTGAGACGCTTCCTACATCGCCAGAACGCTGATGAGCGCGCGCAGCCTTGTCCCGCTGGCAGCGAGGCGGGTGCTGGTCTGGGCAGGAGAACCCATTGCGTGAATTCATTGCAAACTTTCACCGCCCGCCCCCGGGCTTTTCAGGTGTGCAATAATAAGAGACAGTGCCCCTGCCCCCCTGGCTGGAAGCCCCCTGACTGCCTGCAGAAGGGATCCCACCTGGGGGGGAGCGTCGACCGGCCTCCAG